CACTGAGTGGCGTGTCGTGAGCATCATAGAGGATGCGACATTTCATATCCTTATCATGAGGAACCACAATTCCTGTTGTATCCGTTGAATCGGTGCTATAATATAGTAGCAACCCATTATTCAACGAATATCGTTGCAATTGTGCACGCAGTCGTGATGACAAATTCTTGTCCGAGTTTTTAAACTTCCTGCCCCCTAGAGCCCGTAGCAGCGCACACACATCCGATCACCTGCATATGCGGTGCGGATTAAATCTGTCACAGACGACGTTATAGTTGTAAGATGAGCCAGCTCATAGTCATGTCTGCGTGACAACGCATCAGCCAGAGCATTCTGCTTTTTCGGCTTATAGTTCACCTCGAAGTTATATTCCACAAACAAGTATAGCCATCTAGCCATCCTCTGCGAGAGGTGGGGCGACTGATTCGCAGTGCGTAGTGACGCATGATCTGTATAGATCACAAACGGCTTGGAGCCGAGCAGCTGGACCCTGAACTTGACAAGTGTATACTCCGTTGCAAGCAGCTCCTTGTCATGAATTGGGTAGCTCTGAGCTGTCGAGATTCGAACGCGATCACCCGATCTCGCCCTTCGGCGTCTGCTTGAAGTAGTGCACAGACGATGGCGAAGTCCGAAGCGTCACAGACGACGCCAAATTAACGATCAGGGTCTGACGGCGCCAGTATTGGTGCACGCAGGAGGCATGTCTTTGAACCCGTTAGAAGCTTCCTGATGTTCTTTGTTTCAACACTATTTGGCATCCTTTTTAAGGAGATTGAAAAATGGCCGGGCCATCTCTACGTAATTTACGATGTACTTGCGCAAGTAATTGGCAAAACCATCCCACTTACGCAAGTCCTTCTGGTTTCTTGGAACCGGTCAATCTGTAATGGCCTTGACCTTAGCCGGATTCGCATGAAGACCACGCTTTCCAGTAAAGCATCCTAAAAAAGGGGATCTCTTCTGCGCCGAAGATGCACTTGTCTGCATTGGCGTATAATTTATTAGTGTGCATGCACTCGAGCACCGCTCTTAGATAAATGATGTGGCTCTCCTCATCCGTCCTCCCGTGCTTCGCATAATTATGAGCGAAATTGTCGTCAGAGTATGTCTGTGCATACGCCCTGTGGAACCTGAACAACTGCGTCAGAAGACGAATAAATGTTGCTTGTGCATTTGACAGCCCTTGTGGCATCACCAGCCACTCCCAGCGCATGCCGCTCGGGCTGCTTACCGCTGTCAGTGGAATGTCACTCGCTCTCATGAGCAATTGGTAATATCCATTTACCAAATCGAGTGCACTGTACTTCGTACATCCCACCATGTTGTTCTGAAGATCATTCTTTCTAGGAATTGGCGATTGTGCCGGAATAGTGGCAGCGTTGAGCTTATTGTAAGCATGGACGATGCGCCATTTGCCGTTTGGCTTCCGAACACAAAACGTGGGTTCGAATGGAGAGACTTGCTCTCACGCACCATCCCTGCGTCGTGCTCCGCACGGAAAAGGCATCAATGACGTCGCACTGCTCCTTGGGCAGAGGATATTGGCGTGTTACACAGTTTTTGGTTCCCGAAACCAGGTCGATCTCATGACGCACACATCAATCGGAGGGAGGACCGAGGGCGGGTCTTTGGAGACGACGTCTTGAAATTTGCCAAAGGATGGTACGGATCAAGGGATTCTGTAGGATTGACGATCCACTCCGTGCGTTCAGCACTCGCTTGTAGCCTCCCAAGACAGCTTCATTTAGAAGCGATGACGTGTTTTTCCCCTCATCCGGTCGTACAATGACCACTTTGTGGCCAAATCGCCTGCCTTCAAGGCACTGCCAAACTCGTCAAGGGTCATATCGTCCATCTCAAGAAAAGCATTCAATGCAGGCATAGCCTCGAGGCGAACGTCGCCATCTTCCTCTCCCGTCAAACCGTTGACGTGAGTGTATAACTGTGCACCATCATCTACGGTAGATCCACCTTGGGTTAGAGTCGACGTTCGGCGTCTTGCAGCCAGCATACGGCTTCGCCGTCGTCTCTGTACATATTTTCTATATCTCGGTGAGACCAGGGTGAACACGCACCGCGCGGCGTCCTGTTCGTTGTCCAGTGGTTAACGTGCCACTCCATGCGCTTCTGAAGGGCCGTGCCCAAGATGCCCCGGACAATCCGACCACGCCATCAATGGCATGCAGCAACTGCTTCGAAATGAGAGCAGTGTTCAGTAGTTTACGTACCTCGGCCTTTGGCTGCCCATGTCACGTATGACATGCAGCAACTGCTTTGAAACTTGAACAGCGCTCAGTGGTTTACGTGCCACTCTACGATCAGCCCGCGAGCCACGCTCGGGACTACTGTCCAGTGCACCGTTGGTGTCTACCAACTCGGACATTTCAATGTCTAGCTCGTTGACCGTCTCGGTCCCGTGCTCTCGCCAATAGCGCTGTTGTCTCCTAGCAGAGGTGCGTTCATGACTCGCCAATAGCTCCACTAGGAGACGTGCACGTAGCGCCCAAGATATTTGACCTCCAATCAATCCAAGGATGAAAAAAATAAAAATCAGTTTTGAATTTAAACAGAAGAGTCAAATAGCCTTGGAAAGGCAATATTTACTCTGGGAGTAAGCGGATTGCGATCCGCTACCTCATACTGGGTTTTTATGAAGAACGAAAGGTCTGTGACCAAAGTACGCAATCTAAAGCGCTTTGCTACGGCAGCCCCTCTGCACTTAGTAGCAGTTGTAGTCAATCTAAACCTGAGTCGTTTAGACTGATCTTCTGTAAGGATGGAGACATTTTTTCTTTGCAGGATGTGCTTAACAAGGTGATGTTCTTGTCTGGCCCTGAGGGCGTGCAACAACTTGTAGCGCAAGGCTTCAAGGCAATCGGTTTGCGTCTGGAGGTGATTTCAAATTACGAAAACGCTGCTTCAGCACCTGCAACGGATGATGTCTGCATTATTTGCGTCTGTGACGCCACCGTTGGTGACGGATGACTTCCGACGACCTAAGCCGCACATGACGCGCGTCAAGTTCCTTGAGGGGGAGGATGGAGAAAATCTCTTGCTCTTGGTGAGAGAGGTCAAGATGGCCATTGCATCCACCATGCTTCAAACCGAGCAACAGCGCATGGCGCTAGCCATCTACAAGCTCGGTGGTCGAGCGCGAGAATGGGCATTGACGTGCGGCACTTCGGTCGGAGCTGCGTTTCCCTCCTGGGCGGAGCTGAATTTGCAGCTCTTACGAGTGTTCTCGCCCTCTAATCGGGCGTATCGCGTGCGATTGCGTTTCCTTGGCGCCCGAGAGAGCAAAAGGAATTATTAGACTTTTTCCAAGAGATGCGCACTCTCATTGCCGGAATAGCAGCAGATCTCCTCCCGGTGGCGGTCACAGCGACCGTCTTTATGGAAGGCCTACGCACTGGTGTGGCCAGAATGGAAGTCTTCCTTGTGCATCCGTCTTCATTTGAAGAAGCGGTGAATGTTGCGTTGAATGCCGAATTCAATTTCAAGTCGACACTTCTTTGTTGAAATGCACACTTCAACAGCTCGTCGAGCGGATCTGTGCCCATCTCAGCTATGCTGAGGACGAGGGAGCAAAGCTCCTAACTGCGGGCAGCATACACACATTTGACGGTGTTTTGCCTGTGGAGACTCCCCTCACCTTCGGAACGATTGCCCCTTGCGCAAGGCGCATCAAGGTTCTTCGAACCATCACCCCAACGCCTACCAGTCTGGTCATTTGTCGCGGGGAAACGACACCACTCAGTAGGCGCGGGACGACGTTGGAATGTCCGAGTTGGTAGACACCAACGGTGCATTGAACAGGAGTCTCGAGCGCGGCTCGCGGGCTGATCGTAGAGTGGCACGTAACCCACTGAGCGCTGCTCAAGTTTCAAAGCAGTCGCTGCATGTAATGCCTGACATGGTCGGCCAAGGGCCGAGGCATCGAGGGCGAGGCCCTCGTGATGCACGTGAAGTGGTACGTAAACTACTGAACATTGCTCTCGTTTCGTAGCAGTCGCTGCATGCTATTGATGGCATGATCGGATAGTCCGAGGCATCTTGGGCGCGGCCCTTTAGAAGCGAGTGGTGTAGTGTTTGGCAGATTCAGAAGTGAGCTTAATTGTTTTGGTTAATTAAAATGAAAGGACATGAAATATGTAGTCGTCATCGTTGGATTGTTTGATCGTGTTTCTGGTCCGATGCTTTTCACTGGATAGGCGCTCTGACGTAGTGGGTGACTAAATTGTGATTGGCTGCATTTGGGCGATACTCAGCAACATGTGCTTACGATCAACACGGTACCCAGGTGCGATCCACCAGATAAGTGAATATTTGTGGACAATTTGAGTGCGGCCCTGTACTTCAATGTACCATCGTAATCGGTAACATCGAACATAACATGTTGCGTACATTACATAGAACATAACATAGTA